GAGCAATTCAAATTCAGTTCCTGCTGGCACAAGGTTTATCCCATAGATGTGTGTCTACAACTGATAAACTTTTGGAAACAACCCAATCTAAGATTGCTGCTACAGCCAGCTGACAGTACAATCAACAACAATGGCTCTAACTCAAGTCATTTTATTGATATTCAGATTGGAAATAGCAGAGTGTCCTTCACAACATGTCCTCTGTGCAACACATTGTATAATATATTTGCTTAAAATGTTGCCATGGAGTTTACACTGTTTGCTGATAGATGAATATTTGAATAGATTTTATTAAAACTTTCAGGACGTAATCACTGGATTCACKTATAACTGATTAACGTTTGGAGTCAACCTAATTCAAGATGACCACCACAGCTAATCAACATTAGCCAAGAGAAAAATGGCTGTAACTCAAAGTAACAAACATTGAGCCACAGTTTGATGTGGTTGTAGCTGAGAGTGATTACCAACACACAACACTGCTTATTGTGCATAATAAGAATGTTTCACTAAACAGCTCTAACTGACTGTTCTCATCAGATGATCTAAATTCAAAACTTGGCTATGAAAAGCAACATGCATTATTTCAAGAAACACTCAGAATTTAACTATTAAATGTTATATCAATCATAACAGATGTACAGGGATGTTTCTGGTTTTATTATGACCAGAAAAACAATAAAAAAATATTTTATTAGAACCTAAAAGAAACTTCTATGTGCTTTCTATTTCTTCACCATTTTCTTGTCGGAGGAGAAGCCCACAGCCACCCAGCCGTCTGTGTCTGCACTCATCTCATACTCCACGTCTGTCCCGATGCGCCGATAACTCAGGAAGTAGTCACAGGATTCTGCATCGCACCCGGGCTTCCCATACCTGCAAACAAGGTCGTCTCAGCCGTGTCACACTCAGAGAACTTAAACATCTGCATCAAATAAACTTGTGAGACAATAGTAGAGGTTTCAGTTTCAGCTTTTTTAACTTCCAGAGGCCCAAAACTGCACTTCCTGTTCTTTTAACATCTGTTTTTTAAATTTTCTTTTACTTATCTTTCTTTATTCTATATCACCCTCTCCTGTATTGAGTTGCAGTTACGTACAAATTTCCCCACTCTGGGATCAATAAAGTTTTATCTTATCTTATCTTATCTTATATTATAAGGATAAAGTCAGCAGTAAAATTAAAGTCTAAAAAGTATAGTACTGGTCTTCTG